ATTTGTTGAAACATCTCAGTTGGTATTCTGTGAATTCCTGGAGCCTTGCTTTTCGCCAATGACTTCAGTGCAGCTTGGACTGCTTCCTTCAATACCATCAGTTTTTGATCGTATGCTACCGCTTGAAATGGTTGAACATTGACCAATTCTTTTTGGTACAATGACTGTGTATTCCTTCCAACTGCTTTTGATGATTCCTGAGTCATTCAATATTTTGCCCATAGAATCCTTCAAAATTGCAACTCACGGCTTGAAGTTTTTCTTCAGTTCTTTCAGCTTGAGAAATGCTGAGTGGAAATGCTGAGTGTGTTCTTCCCTTTCGATTTTCTGAGTCTTTGCCTGTCATTATAATATTTTACTTTGTCTTCTCGAGCTGCCCTTTGAGATCTTCTGTTCAGCTCTTTTACTTCATCATTTCTTCCATTTGCTTTAGCTACTTGACGTTCAAGAGCAAATTTCAGAGACTCTTCTGACGTCCATTTTGGCCTCTTCTTTCTTTCCTGTCTTTTTAATGACCTTCTGCTTTCTTCTTGTATGACGTCCTTGATATCTTTCCACCACCCATCTGGTCTTCAGTCTTTAGTGTTCAGTGTGTCGAATCTATTCTTGAGTAGTCTTCAAATTCTGGTGGGATATGCTCAAGGTTGTATTTTGGCTCTCGTGGACTTGTTTTAATTTTCTTCAGTTTCAACTTGAACTTGCATATGAGCAATTGATGGTCTGTTCTGAAGTCAGCCCCTGGCCTTGTTCTAACTGATGATATTGAGCTTTTCCATTGTCTCTTTCCACAGATCTAGTTGATTTGATTTCTGTGTTTTCCATCTGGTGTCATCCACACGTACATCCACACAGTTGCCATTTATGTTATTGAAAAAACATATTTGCAATGAGTAAGTCATTGGTCTTGCAAAATTGTATCATGTGATTGCTGATGTCATTTTTATCACTAAGGCCATATTTTCTAACTACCAAGCCTTCTTCACTTCCAACTTTCCGATTCCAATCACCAGTAATTATCAATGCATCTTGATTGCATATTTGATCAATTTCAGACAGCAGAAGTTTGTAAAAATCTTCAATTTCCTCATCTTTGGCCTTAGTGGTTGGTGTGTAAATTTGAATACTAGTCATATTACCTTACTAAGCTTAATTAATTGATTTTCAAGAAATTATTGAACACCCACTGTTTGTCCAATACTGTGCTAGGCATAATGAAAGTGCTGTGGATTGAATTGCGTACCCTAAAAATGTGTATTGTATTCTTGGTTCTTGTACCTGTGGATGTGATTGTGATCCCTGTTTGGAAATAGTTTTTCTCTGTCATGTTAATGAGGTCACACCAGTGTAGGGTGGGTCCTAAACCTAATCACTTTTGAGTTATAAAAAGACCAGAAAAGACACAGAGACCCACACATGAGAGGAAGACAGATGACAAGGAACACCAAAGAACACCAAGAATCACCTGCAGACAACAGAAACTGAGAAGCTCACAGAAGGAATCAATATGGCTAAGAACCTGATTTGTTTTTTTAATCTCTAAAACTACGAGAGAATACATTTATATCCTTTAAAGCTTCCCACTGTGGTGTTTCTGTTATGGCAGCACTAGGTAACTAAGGTAAGAGTTGTTAAAGAAGTGGAGTATGTGGTACCTGACTTCATGGAGGAAGTACCTTCCTTCCACCATCCAGCAAGAAGACTATATAGTATTGCCTACTCAGCTAGACTGACAACTACTCTCTGGCAGGAATCCTTCCTTAGAAACATCACTCCTGGCTGCAGTCCTAGACCAATCAGACCACAACCACCAGGGACAAACCTATAGTAAGACAAAGTTAGTTTTATTAGCTCATTTTAATGAGGGACAATGCATACTGGGGGACCCAGAGGCAACTCATCAAACAAAGGAAGTTGCTGTCGTTGTTGTTAGGTGCTGTTGGGTCGGTTCCAACTCATAACGACCCTATGTACAACAGAACGAAATGCTGCCCAGTCCTGTGCCATCCTCACAATCATTGTTATGCTCAAGCCCATTGTTGCAGCCACTGTGTCAATCCATCTTGTTGAGGGTCTTCCTCTTTTTCGTTGGCCCTCTACTTTACCAAGCATGATGTCCTTCTCCAGGGACTGATCCCTCCTGATAACATGCCCAAAGTATGTGAGACGTAGTCTCACCATCCTTGCTTCTAAGGAGCATTCTGGTTGTACTTGTTCCAAGACAGATTTGTTCCTTCTTTTGGCAGTCCATGGTATAGTCAATATTCTTTGCCAACACCACAATTCAAATGCGTCAATTCTTCTATCTTCCATATTGATTGTCCAACTTTCACATGCATATGAGGTGACTGAAAACACCATGGTTTGGGTCAGGCGCACCTTAGTTTTCAAGGTAATATCTTTGCTTTTCAACACTTGAAAGAGGTCTTTTGCAGCAGATTTGCCCAATGCAATGCGTCTTTTGATTTCTTGACTCCTGCTTCCATGGGTGTTGATTGTAGATCCAAGTAAAATGAAACCATTGACAACTTCAATCTTTTCTCCGTTGATCATAATGTTGCTTATTGGTCCAGTTGTGAGGATTTTTGTTTTCTATATGTTGAGGCGTAATCCTTACTGAAGGTTGTGGTCTTTCACCTTCATCAGTAAGTGCTTCAAGTCCTCTTCACTTTCAGCAAACAAGGTTGTGTCATCTGCATAAAGCAGATTGTTAATGCATCTTCCTCCAATCTTGATGCTCCATTCTTCTTCACGGAGTCCAGCTTCTTGGATTATTTGCTCAGCACACAGATTGAATAATTACGGTGAAAGGATACAACCCTGACACACACCTTTCCTGACTTTACACCACCCAGTATCCCCTTATTCTGTTTGAATGACTACCTCTTTATCTGTGTACAGGTTCCTCATGAGCGCAATTAAATGTTCTGGAATTCCCATTCTTTGCAATGTTATCCATAATTTGTTGATTCACACAGTCAAATGCCTTTGCGTAGTCAATAAAACACAGGTTAACACGTTTTTGGTATTCTCTGCTTTCAGTCAGGAATCATCTGACATCAGCAATGATATCCCTGATTCCGCGTCCTCTTCTGAATCTGGCTTGAATTTCTGGCAGTTCCCTGCTGATATACTACTGCAGCCACTTTTGAATGATCTTCAGCAAAATTTTACTTGCGTGTGATATTAACAATATTGTTTGATAATTTCCGCATTCAGTTGGATCACCTTTCTTGGGAATAGGTATAAATATGGCTATCTTCCGGTCAGTTGGCCAAGTAGCTGTCTTCCAAATTTCTTGGCATAGATGAGTGAGCACTTCCAGAGTTGCATTCGTTTGTTGAAACATCTCAGTTGATATTCTGTCAATTCCTGGAGCCTTGTTTTTTGCCATTGCCTTCAGTGCAGTACCGTCAGTTCCTGATCATATGCTACTTCCTGAAATGGTTGGATGTCAACCAATTATTTTTGGTATAATGACTCTGTGTATTTCTTCCATCTTCTTTTGATGCTTCCTGCCTTGTTTAACATTTTCCCCGTAGAATCCTTCACTACTGCCAACTCGGGGCTTGAATTTTTTTCTTCAGTTGTTTCAAAACAAAGGAAGAGATATGGTTATTATAGGATTTGGGGGAAAGGTGGAGTTTAGGTGAGATTTAAACGAAGCAGTATTTTGATAGGCTCAAAGCAAACAAGAGGCGTGTGTAAAGGCATCAACATCAGGTTTGGAATGTGAAGTGAACTCAAGGTCCTGTTTTCTTGACAAAGTTAAGGTAGACATGGAATGTGCCCAGAAAGCCCTAGGTTGGAAATAAAAGCTGCTTCTCTGTGTCAAATTGACATATCATTCGGGTAAGGGTGAGATATTTCACATTTACCTGGATGATTTTAAACAGCAAATTTTCTGACAGTCTATGATTTCAGAGAACAAAGTTTCTCATTAAGAAAGCAGTGGGCAAAACATGGGATTGTTATGACACTTCATAGCTGCAGCCTGAACTTGGGAGAAATATTGTTTCCTGCTAACTTTACAGTTGGCTTTAATCTGTGACCGTGTCTTACCTGTGTCTATTATCCCAGCATAATGATTGGCCCGCCAGACTTTTAATTTTTCAGAGTGAGCTGGTATTTTACTTTCTTCCCAGGAACCATGCACCACGCACCACAGGTTCGTAAGCTGTGTTAACTTGTTCATAGACTCAGGAAAACGATGGACACTGACTGCTTAATCCTTCCTTCAAAAAGTGCAGATAAGGTAGAGCTTTAGAAATCCCAACGTCCGGGCCTTGCCCAGCCAGGTCTCCTTCTTCCCTCTATACACTCACATGTTTGTTTCTTTCTCTAGCTCCCAAGCTATCCCAAGGTCGCACAAAGGGAGTGGGAGACAACCAATTACATCCTTCTCGCTTTAAATTAAATCCCAGACAGTTACGGGGACTGTTGTGTGGGAGCTCTGACTTGGGGTAAGTGGACAGTGTTGCCTGAGCTGGACAGTTTAGACACCTTCCCATTGTCCTAGCCGAGGGAAGGTCGGCAGCATGTAGGGTGGGTGTGGAGCCCAGTCGCCAGGCCAGATCACAAGACTCCACTGTCTTGCAGACTCGCCTCTGGGTCTCCTGCCGACCCCAGGGCGCGGGTCCTGGCACCAGGCGCTGGCGATCCTTGAGTTCTCCTGTCTGGGACTGGGCTTCTGGCCCCGCCCCTTGGCGATCCCGGAGTTCTCTCAGCCCCGCCCAGGTGCTGTCCCCATATGGGCTACTGGGGGGTAGCGCGGCGTTCTCTCGACCCCGCCCCCGGCCTGTTAGGCTCCTGGCTCCGCCTCCGCGTGGTGCCCCGACACCCCGCAACTTGCCGTATCCAGTCGCGCCGCAGGACGGGGTTTGGGCGAAGCTGGGTTTCCCCCGTAGAGCGGGAGGTGGAGCCTCCGTCCGGAAGCCGGGGATCCGCCGCCATGGCGGCGCGGACGCGCGGCTTCGCGCTTTTGCGCGGCCGCCTGGTCGGACTGCTGACGCTAGACAGAGGTGCGGCGCCGGGAGCGGCTGGGCGCGCGTTCCGGGGCTTTCGGAGCAGCGGCGTGAGGTACGAGGGCTCCCGGGTCCTCGGTCCCCTGGGAGTTGGGTGCTCCTGGGTGCGCAGTGAGGGGCTGTGGGAGGGGCGGCGGGGGCACGGGCGGGATTCTCACCCGTGAGGCGGAACACTGGGTAGTCGCGCGGCGGGGCTGCGGGCTTGATCGGCCTTAGGTTTGAACGTGGCCTTGCCGGCCTGTCGTGTTGGTCTCAGCTTGGGGAGCCTCGACGTGCTAGGCTTCTGGGTTCCAGAACCCGCATGTTCTGCCTTTGCAGCAGGTGCAGTTGAGTGATTTAGGAAGACGTTTGCGGATCCAGGAAAGGTATCATATAAATACTATTTGTTTAAAACGTTGTTTTTTTGGTTTGGTTTTTGTTGTGTTTGGTGAACAAAGGAGTAAGCGTTGTCGAGATGGTTTGCTAGTGTTTGAGTTTCTGACTTCATTTGCTAATGGTCATGCTGAGCTCTTCTTCAACTCTAATATTCTTAATGATTTTACAAAGTCAGATATTGATCTTGATTTCTCAGTCATTTTCTTTATGGTGTTTCGCGAACCTCCTTCAAGTGATCAGTTTTAGCTTTATTGCATCTCTCTGGACCAGGTTGCTGGCTAGTACAGTCTAAACACGAAAAGGTACAAGTTTTAACCGTTTTGCACAATGGTGTGCAGTAATACTTCACTCTTCCACCATCTACTTGTTTTAGTTGCGCTCTCCAGCGTAATAAGCTAAAAATGTACGCCCTGACCCAGAGCCAGTGAGTCCAGAAAAGGCTCTGTGTTCTGACGTTGCATTCCAGCAATGTACTTTCTCTGACGTTTTACATGGCCAGAGAAACCTGTGAGAGCTGGAACTCGACAGGGCGGTACTGCCTTGTTTTTCCGGGTCTCGCAAGTTTTCCACCATTGACAGGGTGCAATCTTACCACTTTTCTGTCGCTCTTTTTAGTGGGAAATATTTGAGTTTTCCTTCTCTGACAGGTTTCTGCCTTACATGGATTCTCGCTTTTACAGGTTTTATTGTATCTTTTGTGTCTGTCGGAATTGACTCCACGGCAACAAGTTTGGTTTGGTTTTTTGGTTTAATGCCCAGCACGATACCTAGAATAAAGTAATATTCTGTTAAGTGGAAAAACAGCTAATGTTTATTTAATTTAAAAGGAGCCCTGGTAGCACAATGGTTAAGCACCTGGCTGCTAACTGAAGGGTTGGCGGTTGGAACCCACCATGTGGGAGAAAAGAGCTGGCAGTCTGCTCCCATGTATCTTTATGGAAACCCTTTGGGGGCAGTTCTACTCTGTCCTGTAGGGTTGCTGTGAGCCAGAATTGACTTGATGACACACAACAATAACATTTAATTAAATGACCTCTCCTGCCTCATTGTGTACATTTGAATCTTCATACTCATTGACTGAAATTATTTTTTCCTATGGGGTGTATCTCAGGTAGAGAGTTTCTGGTGACTAGGTCTTTCACAAGGGAGTCCCTGTGTGGTGCATATGGCCTCTAACTGAAAGGTTGGAGGTTGGAGTGCCTCGGAAGAAAGGCCTGGCAGCCTGCTTCCAAAAATCCTATGGAACACAGATCTACTCTGACACTCACGGGATTGCCATGAGTCCGGGATTGCCATGAGTTGACGTGGACTCCACAGTAACTGGTTAGTTCTTTCACAAGGATGTGTGAAAAAATAACGGTAATTTACAGTTCTAGTAGGGGTGTCTGAAAAAATTTACCAATTGGTTTGGACTTACTACCTAGGAAAGGCAGATTCTGTATAATTCCATTTGTATTACAGAATTGAGGGAAATATCTATTATAGTCATTCTAAATTACTTAGGTAGTTAACTTATCCTTTGAATTTTAGTTGATTTAGGGCTTCTTTCCAGACTGAGGATAATCTTTTCCAAATTGTACAAGTTGATTAGTTTCCAATTGTTAGCTTGATGTAAACAGTCTCATCTCCCTGTCCTTTCCACGCCTTGTGCTCCTTGGGTCAGAGTCAAATGACAGGAGACCAATATGCTCAGACATTTGGTTATAACCACTTGCTTCACACATACATGAATACACACACCCATCTTAAAGAGGTTACCTATCTTTTTCGTTATATTTAAAGGCCTCTTTATAATTTAACGGGGCACTGGTGGCACAGTGGTTAAGAGCTTGGCTGCTAACGAAAAGGTCAGCAGTTCAAATTCACCGACTGTTCCTTGGAAACCCTATGGGGCGACTCTACTCTGTCCCATAGGGTCTCATGAGTCGGAATTGACTCAACAGCAATGAGTTTTGTTTTTTTTTTTTAAATAATTTAATTGGATCCTGGTTAAGAGATGGCTGCTGACCAAAAGGTCAACAGTTTGAATCCACCAGCCACTCCTTGGAAACTCTGCCCTTTCCTATAGGGTCACTATGAGTAGGAATCAGTTCAACAGCAGTGGGTTTGGTTTTGGTGGGTTTATAATTTAAGTGGCTGCAATAATTTTGAAAGCTGTTCTTAGGAGAGATATTGCGAGGTATTACTTTCAGCCTGGCTGCTTCCAGCCCCACTTGATGCAGATTATAACTGGATAAAAGTAAATAATACTTTTAATAATTTTTTTGTTTGTTTGTTGAAGGCAGTACTACTCAAGTTAGAATAGGGTATAGGGCACTGTTTTTGACATCTTCTTGGCACTGAATACCATATCTAAACGTGAGGTTGGCCGTAAGGTTGAGAAGCACCTGTGAACTGCTAGGTCTTAGGTGGGGAGGAATTCGGACAGTGTGTTGATGCTTATTGGTGTCTCTCTTCTCTTCTAGGACCAGCAGAGAGAAGAGATTCGATCTTCCAGAGGTCGCCACTGTCTGCCTCCCCACTTGTCCCCATCCTCAGTCATCTTTTTCTTTTTTTAGTATCACATAGTGACAAATAAGTTGTCTAATGGTTTAAATTTGACATTGTGTCTTATTGAAATTTGAAACTGTTATTCTTACTGAAAATCGCTTTTGAGTTTGATAAAATTTTTACCCAATGGTATTTACTTTTAAATTAACATGTCTCTAGTTTATGAGCTATAGAGAGCCATAAAGGACAAATAAAAGAGTATTTCTGGTTATTTTTTTCATACCTTTGACTAACTAGATACCTGTAATAATGGAACACATTAATTCTTTTTTTAGTGGAAGAGGTTTTTTCTTTTTTTTTTTAAATAAATGGGCTAATAAAAAATGTAGGGTGAAATTTGAAGTTACAAATATCTTGAACTCTTTTTCTCAATGGTTTTCCCTTTAAAACTTGAAATAAATTTTTTTCCCATTTGCTCATGAAAAATTAGGTCTTATTAATTGGGGGAAATGTAATTAAAGTCACAGAAATAAATAAGCCCTTTTATTTGTTGCAGTTTATTATTTCTTTTAATAAATTACATAAATAACCAAAAAGTAAAAATACAGTACAAAACTTTGATGGTTACATTTTTCCCGTTTTGGCCTTCTGTGAGAGGAATTTATAAATAAAAACGTCCTTGGTTTATAAAGCACATGAGTCTTTGGCCCAGTGCTTTGCAGACTATGGGGCCTGGGCAGGGAGGTTAGAGACCATGCTCAAAGCAGATTTGCTGGTATCTTACAATACTGGGACTTCCCAAGCCTATTTTAGATCAGCGTTCCTGAACAAATAATTTTCAATAACTTAAGTGAATATCCCAAGCATTTGTTGCATGTTTTTAACCTGTTATTTGGTGATCCCTAAATTAATTAATTTGGCAGATTCTCTTTTTCCCCTCTTGCTGTGATTGCTTTTAGCATTTACAAAATTTTGTTGTGTACCAGCCTACAGCTCTTTATGGAACTTTCACCTTTCTATATGTCTTACTGCCAATGGTGTTAAAATTTTTGCAGCTAGGCCAGCATTTAAAGAGTCTACTTTTTTTTTTTTTCCTGTATAGGGTTGCTATGAATCAGAATCAACTCAGCGGCAATGGGTATAGAGACCAAAGTTTTTTAGTGGTTATCAGGGGTGAGGAGAGTCATTGTTTAGGAAGCATTGAGTTTCTGTTTATTGTGATGGAAAATTGGGCAGAGGATATTGGTGATGGTTGCACAACATGGTTAATGTAATTGATACCACTAAATTGTACATGTGAAAACATTGAATTGTTAAAGGTGTGATATGTATTTTTTACATAACGAAAAGAAATAAAGAATCCACATTTTTTTAGCTATAAATGGCACTGGTTTATTTAAACATCCATGTCTTTTGGAGTAGGTAATTGAATTTAATTGAAAAAAAAAGACAAATTTTATTAGCAAAGTTGTTCATTTTCTTTCAAACTCTCCCCTCTAGTATTTAGTTAATATTTCTATTTCAGCAATTTTGATTTAAAGATCCTTATTTATTGTTATTAGTTGCCAATGAATTGATCTGATTCATGGTGACCCCATGTGTACAGAGTAGAACTGCTCCGTAGGGTTTTTAAGGCTGTGACCTTTCAGAAGCAGATCGCCAGGCCTGTCTCCTGAGGCCCCTCTGGTGGGTTCAAACTGTCAGCCTTTTGGTTAGTAGTCGAGCACTTAACCATTTGTGCCACCTGTCGTGTAAAAGTTGAAGGACCCAGACTCCAGTTAGGACCATTACTAAGGCTAATTTTCTGTAGACTGGTTTCAACCAAGATAGAGTGAATCCTGAAGACTGGCAAAGGCTAGTTTCTCAGAATAATATTCTATTTTGTTGACAAATATAATAATGTGATTTTTCTATCTTACTGCCTTAATCTTTCCTAATGAAAATGAGGTATGATAACTATCTGGCTACAGTTTTGATTTCTGTGTAGATCTTATGTCATTTCTCATTTAGAATCTAAATATTTCACCATTTAATGTCATGTCTTAGTTCTGTGACTGTGTCCCAGCTGTTCAGAGATAATGTGTTTTAATGTACTGTCTCCAAAATGAAGTTTTCTGATGAAAATGTATCAGTAGGTGAAAAAAAGGGATGTAATGTTAATCTCGGATCTTGTTAGTCAGTCATGGTCTT